AGACCCGCGCACTACAGATGGCCTTGTGGAATCTTCCCGGAGGGGTACATATTCCCGTGTTTTAACTTTAACATCAGTACTATCCCTAGCCTTTGTCCTAGCCCTCCCAACGCTAACAATAACTCCCCAAAATTTAAAGCAGAACCACCTGTAATACGGACGTCCTTATCCTCGCCCCCTATACTCCTCGCCAAAACCTAGCTCACAAGTAAGTCACCATGGTCCCTCTTGGATAATGGAGGTTATCGTTGTGCTCTCTTTAAGGCGAGTCGACTCCAGAAGTCAGTCCTGAGGCCGACGGTTCCGACAAACCTGACCGACACGTAACACGAATTGTGTCTTGTTCGGGAAGAGGATGGTCGCTAAATGTCTGAAACCTCAACTCTTTGACATGAACCATGCTCCAATGCTAGCCTCCAAGTGCAGTCATGACCGAAACTACTGAGGATATGAACGAGGGGATGTGCAGAGTTTAGTTTAGAAGACAGAAGAATCAGTGAGACGTTGTGGCACACTTGGCCTGGAACAAGAGATCAAGTCGATCGCTGCACTTAGCACAAAGTCGAATCGTCAAGTCCATAAAGCCCTTGCTCAAATGATCGAGTACACTTCGTCTCAGTTACTGCCTGGAGCTAGTATTTTCGCATGCATCGGCGGCACCATTATTGCTCGAATAGTCCGGCTGTTGGAGAGAGAGATTAAGAATGGCGCTGCACAAGTTCTTCCCAACCCCCCCCCCTCCTAAACGAAAACTACCCACGTAGATGGGCTTAGATTCTTTGCAAACAGTTCAACTTTATGGAGTCTTTTGACTCGCTGAGGCACAGCCTCAGCTTGCGAAAATTCCTTCCCCTTTCTTTGTGTCTATCTCCTAGCAAAGTACGCTTCTGCTTCTTGCTGGAGAAGAAGGTGGAAGGGAGAATGTAAAAGACGTGTCAGGACGAATTGCTAAACGAACAAGAAGAAAGAGGCAGAAAGGAAAAATAGAGGGTAGGAAGAAAAGGAATGCATACAGGCAACACTGAACGGAAGCGAAACGAAGTTTCGAAAGAGTGAAGTAACAAACAATTCAAAAGGCAAGAAAAAATAAACAGCAAGGAAAGAATTAGTGAACTAAAAGGTTGGATGGGAAGTGAAATAGGAATATTAAAATAGTAAACTGACAGGCAAGACCGGGTAGTGGCAATCATGGGCGGACAGGCAGAAATACTATGAGCGAGAGGTGGAGAGAGAGAGAGAGAGAGAGGGCGAGTTGGAGAGGACAGACGGGGTCACGCAGACAAAAAATGCGGAGGAAATGATAAACGCGGGAAAACCGACAATTCGAAAGGGAAGGGTGGCTGGCCGGCGGTAGGAGGTAAACGCCCAGGATGATATTGCTGAGGCTGTTAGCGGTGCCCAGGATAATAGTGGTTATGATGAAAAAGAGAAGAAGGATGACTTCGAGATGGCAGAACCGTGCATTTTTAAATCAGAGACCTGTGGGAGATAAAATAGTGCGCTATGTTATACTGTGTCATTTGGGGTCAAAGAGGGTCTCGTTTTAATGTGTCTTCGCTAAATGTCCCTATCAAATACAGAAAGTGCTACGTTAGTTAAGACTAGCACTCAAAGTCGAAAAAATAGTCGTGTCTGCAACCTTTCCCTCCAAACTCCCATATGAGACAGTTTTGACGTCCTTTATGTGATCTCTTTCACGCTGTTGTTGCCCGGGTTTGTTTTCCTAACGCTGTAACTAGACCTGAACTCACTGATCTACTTGCCTCTACAGAGTGTCCCGCAAGAAATTATTCACGCTTAAACAAGTCAGTTGCTGCTTCTTTCTTTTCAGATTCGACCCACTGAAATTTATACTGGCAGTCATTGCCAAACTTTTAACAAAGAAACGACATCCCAAGATGTTATTGGGAGTCTGAAACTACGGCTTAACAACAAAGGCAAATTAGGGGTGTTTTAAACACATTCATCTGCGCGAATTCACAGTAATCCAAACATAAATATGCTTGAGGCCCTAGAAATCATTCAGAATGTTCCCTTAAGACATCCCGGAGGACCGCGAACACCAAAGAGTCCCACAAAGCAATAAGAACGCTGGAAACATATTAAGAATGTCCGAAAAAATCTATGTGACAGGCGAACTTTGACGTCGGAATTCCAAAATTATCTGTCCATCGTATTTTGAAGCGATGTCGTTGAAAATGTGGCATTTTGCGGTTGACCCAGACTATCTACCAAGATGCCTCAGATTGAAGACTAGAGTACCGCGAACGGTACTCGGCAGGTGTGAAAAAACGCACAATTCCAAACAAAAATGGTGGAAAGCATTTAAAAAATGCTTGAACTAAATGGTCCAAGTAACTGTCAAACTGCACTTACTGGAGACCTGACATCCGCAGAGTATGGCGTAATACCCCATTTACCTGGCAGGGTTATCCAGTTTTGACGCTACTGTGACCGGTTCAATTTACTTTAACTTGTTTATTCTATCACATCTTGAAGATGAAATAAATATGCATAATTGATAGATGCCCTGCATTAACATGTACATGAAAATTAACTAATCTACGTTCCGAGATGGTATTGTTGAAAAAACCTAGGCCCTCCAAATAGTTGAGTTGTATTGGTGGGATCTCAAGTTATCAACAAACTGTGGTCAGGCGAAAGGAGCATAGAGACGGGATAGGCGCTGCGGTATTCTCTGTAGCGCGAACTCTGAAGGTGGTAGTGAGCAGCGACTGGTTTTCGCAGCCCATCCGCGCCGTGTCCGTAATCGTGGTTGAGGGTGGAAACTGGTACAACCAAACCCGGTGGTCCTCATCATCCCCTCAGTCAGCAAATTTGTTCCCGTCTCCTCCCCTTGAACAGTCAGGCCCTCCGTCGACCACCCATCACCAGATGCAATCGCCGCCGCCATACGACACTCCTTGCTACTCCTGCTAGCGTGTGTTTGGACTGATTGACCCCATTGGCAGACTGCACAGCGGCGAGCTGAGGAGGCTTCTCTTTATTGTGTGTGCTTGCGTACGTGCTGGGCAATCGGTGCGTTGTGTGATTTTCCTTGTTATAACAACATCCAAAGCCGTGCGAGGCTGGCAGCGTCGAAGTAACAGGTCCCAGATTAAATTAAATTCGAGACCCAAATGACTCAAATAAGCAATTGATGGCTGAAGGACCCGGCTGAAATCAGCTCATTGCTGATTCTACAAGCATGAACTATGTCACCAGTTTGTTTAGGACTAGGCAAGACAGTCCTTCTAAAAGGTGTTCAGAAGCAGTCCACAGGGAACAAGAGCAAACGAAGGCAAAACAGCGCCCTCCACACTTGGAATAAAGTGCGTTGTGTATTTTTGGACCAGCCAGTGGGAAATTAGAACGAAAGCCGCAGTGGCAGCCTCTCCATTCTGAAACAATACTGGGTGCAGTGTGCCAATTATACGGCCAAAATCTTATACTTCGAGACAACCTCAACTTTTAATGAAAACGTCTCAGTTCAAAATCATTTAGGACGAAAGAAAGACAGGGAGTTCTCCTGTACGGTTAACACGAGACTTCATTTCCTTTGAGGGGGAGCGAACATAGTCAGAAGACAGAGTTGCTAATTGACAGGAATAATGCGGCCTTTATTGGGCTGTGGTCAACGCACTATATGAACAAGGAAAATGCTGGAAAGAAGATGAACGCGCGACCACTTGAGCAGTAGGACATTAGTCTGAGTGTCCGGAGTCGTACAGGCGACCAGCATCAAATACTATGCGAGAAATGCTCTGACCAGAACGAGTGTTCGCCATTAAGCCACGTACGTCGGTTCATTAATTCATGTGGCTCTGTTAGCTTGATAAAATCCAGTGCAACCAATGATTTCCAGTAGCTTTCTCTGCCAGCAAATTTTTCAGAAGCCAAAAGCAGACACGTTAATACGGTGGGCATAATATATGGCCCCGACTGCCGATGTCCGAAAGATGGGCTGGTCAGCTGCGAGTTCCTCATACGCACAAAGCAAATTAAAGGGGAATTTCGGGCCGCAATAAAAAGGGCATCAGGAAAGACGACTGATTCATGAATAAGTATGCCATTTTCCAGTCACACACTTGATCGAACCCTCTAGCCGGGCATAAGCATCTGCATGTCAATGCCACGCCATTTTGATTCGAAAAACCACAACGGCCCCGTATATTAACAAGCGATTGTCTAAACTGCTGTCAAACCAGGGCTTGGCCCTCGGCTCAAGGAAGAACGCTGACGAGATTGCAACGAAAGTTGACACAGATGCCGCTCTGGTCGAATAACTAATTCGTTGGCAGTGGTACTGAAGAGGCCTAGCTGTGACGCACGTTCTATATTTTTACAATTCAGCACCGTGAACACTTTTCGTAATAAAACGTTTACTCATCCGGGGATGCGAATTGCACTAGCCACAGGAGACAGTTATGTAAACGTCTTCAAGTCTGCAGGCATGGTAGCGGCGGCCGATCAAGCCACACGATGCACAGACCCAGCCCATGATGCATAGGTCCCACTCCCTCGAGTACTGCCTTCGATTAATAACTCTTTGTGGAAATCGGCAAACCCCTGACAAACAGAAAGGAATAGGGGAGTGCATAGATATGTCTTCAATCTAACAACGGGAAATGAGTGTAATACACGGCTTAAATTATGGTGGGCACCTTTCCGTGTAATGTTACAGCTGCCCCTACCATTAGTGTCGGCATGTGTGCGCATGCATACTAAGACTGACTCAGATGCGTTGTACGCCTACTGGGACGGTAATTGGTTAGTTTTGGACCAATGAGTTGCGGGTAAGGGCGCTGGCCAATCGCTATTCGCGTCCGACCAGACATTCGAAGGCAGCCGGCTGCATCATTGCCGGGGTGATTATACAACTTATCCTTCATCAGTTCGCAAGTTGTCAACGCCTCTAGGAGGTGGTCTTCTCATCCTTGTTGGGAAAATTTTCCTGTCCGAATAACATCGACATCTTATATCGGCTATTGGACGCCAGCATGGATGTCAAGAGTCTTTCATTCTGCTTGTTCTGCTTGATTTCTCTCACCAGGGCGGGTCCCATTTGTAATTGTTCGTCTGACAGCAGGAGCCTCGTCTACGCGTGTACGTGTTCGGGGCCTGAGGTCAAAGATCTTTCTAGTCTTTTCTCTTCTGGCCTTTGCGCCAATGGCACTCCATCCAAACTGGTGCTGAAGGACATACCAAACCTCGTCCGACTTGAGGACGGCTTCGAGGCACCCGCCTCTAGTAGATGTGTCGGCTGGAGCAGTCTAACTACTCTAGAAATCCACCAGTCAGGGCTGCAAAACATCACTTCCACAACCTTCCGCGGCCTTCATGATCTTGAGTTATTGGACATCTCAAATAACTCACAAATTGTGAGCTACCGCGAGGAGGTCTTCCGGCCAGTTGGCAGCACCCTTGTGGACTTAGTCGCAACAGACAACCGCGTACATTCTTTGACCCGTCGGGTATTCTCCGGCCTGAAACGCTTGCGCCGCCTTACACTTAGCAGGAACAAGATCGGTTACATTGCGCCTGAAGTATTTTCCAATGGATGCTGCAGTGAACTCACTGAGCTCCGCTTGGATTACAATATTCTCACAGACCTTGAGGACGAAACCTTCCGCGGACTTACCTCATTGCGTCTGCTTGACCTGCGTGGTAACCCGCTACAGCGGCTATCACCTCACCTATTCAAGCCCTTCGTGGCCACGATAACACACCTTTGGATGAGCCATGATGACAACGCCAACTTTGGTGGATTCAGCGAACTGCCCAGGGGTCTCTTTCTGCAAATGGACTCCCTCAGAGTGCTTGAGATTGTGGAGCTAAAACTGCGAAACCTGTCTTCCGACTCATTTGAGGGCTTATCAAGTCTAGAACAGCTGTCTCTACGGGGAAATCGTCTGACTGAGATCCCCCCTAACATCTTCTCCTCCCTGCCTAGTCTTGAAAGACTAGACCTTTCTGCTAATTTTCTCGTTTGCCTACCGGATGCGTCTTCAGAGAAATACCAAAGCCTCCGATGGCTGGACATTTCCTGGAACGGGCTCACTCACCTGACCCGTAACGGTTTTGTGGGTCTGGCGAGATCTTCTCCCACTGCGGAATACCCCAAATTTGTGCTCAACATCTCTTCTAACCCTATCCAGCGAATCGAACCGGACGCCTTCTGCGCCCTCGGCGGAGCCGTGGAGTTGATTGTTAGTTCGCCAAATGTCACTGTGCCAACTGGCCAAGACACCAAAGTTTGGAACACCATGGAGAACTGGCCAGAAAGTCCATTTGCTTTAGTGGGCAATACGAGCATTATACGCGGTATGCTTGAAGACCCGACATCTGCCAGTGCGTCTGTCACGGTCGCCGCTGCCGACCCTCTCTATGGACGAGATGATGCCTTCCTAGCATGCTCACAGACATCGCAAGGGGCCGCTCTTCTGAACCGGTTGTTGGAGTCGAAACTCTACAAGCAAGTAACATACACTGCCAAGGATGTCAGCACTTCACTGGCTTCCGGTTGTCCCTGGTTGGCTCTTTCGAAGCTCTCCGAGTGGCAGCTCTCCAAACTCGGTGTGCCTGGCCTCTCGGGAACGCCAAATACCATGTCTGATGGTAATCTGGGCAGCGGATTGGAGCAGGGCTCCCGACTGTATCTCTTGATCATCGTTGCCGTCTGCGTCACCTTCCTCCTCTCGGCCCTCACCATAATTATGTGTTATCGGGCCTGGTCGCGCCGGGCCACACAGAAGCACGCCATGGATGTGGAGGCAAATGGGGCTGGGATCATAGCAAATGGTCATGATGAGAACGTGTCCGAAAAGCACGAGCTATTGGCGAGAGCAGAGACCAGGACCAACGGCAATAATGAGAGAGAGGCCCTTAGGGAATTGCCAGAGGGCTCTGAGTCGACTAACCTCAATGGTGCATCACAAAGTTCCCGGATCTCCGAGGACGGAGCCTCCAGGGAGGGCGTTACCGTTTCTAAACGAACAGGTAATGCTGACGAGGAGACCCGGCGGCACTCACGCTCGACCCGGCTTAACACCGAACAGAAGACGGGAGACTTGGAACAAATGACCTCTTTAGGTGTCCTTTAGTAGGTGCCAGTGCTGGTCACCTCAACTGAGCGACTATTGATCTCTCTCCTTCGGTCCTCCGAACAGTTTCGCTGTCCGTGGACTCGATGCGCCTCCAAAATCCCCCTTCAATGAAGCGCCAGAACTCCAGGTAACAGCATTCCTGATTTCATGGGAAGCCTCCCTCTACCCCCTTGTTCGGCCACTGCAATGCCATGTGAGGTCGTTTTGTCCATTTCTCCATTATATGCCCACCACCAGCACCCTGCTTCTTACTTTCCCTCGATGCAAAGATCACGGACCCGGTACTTATGAACATTCGCGTACATGCATAGACGTGAGCGTATACGTGTATTGGCATCTTTTCTGTATTACTACTACTACTACTACTACTACTACTACTACTACTACTACTACTACTACTACTACTACTACTACTACTACTACTACTACTACTACTACTACTACTACTACTACTACTACTGCCACTACGACGACTACTACTAGCACCACGTACGTTTGCTCTGTGCACATCAGATTCAGGATACGTGCAGATGACCGAGAACTCAGTAGACGGAAAACCACATGTACCGTAATATGCCCTTTCTTAAGCCAGTCTTGGCGCCTTACCCCGGTGTTTGCGTTCACGCTTGCGTATTTATGTATGTATGTAATTTTCTCCGAGTTTTTACACTTTAAGCGCTGCCTTTGTACGTTTTCTTGCTGTTTATTTTAAAAAGACGAAAATTTCCGCCTTCCACTACAGCCTCCTCAATTTAATTTTGCTGCTCATCTTATCCGTCAAACTGTGAGAGTGAGTGAGTGGATGCACTTAAATGGTCTAGGTTGTTTGGACATAGCGGCGGTAGTGAGTATTTAGGCCCAAAACCTAACCCCAGCACTTCATTAGGACCGACCGTACAAAGTTGAGAAGTCGCAGAGAGTTAGAAGGCGTTTTCTGTAAGAGACGCGGTCGAGCCGTCAATTACAAGAATTTTCTGTGGGCGTTTTACCTCTGAGTTATCACGACCACGCTTGTCAGACGTGTTAATTAACCGACTTCCTCTTTATCCCAGCATGCCAGGTGAGTTGATTTTTAACCCACGCTATTGTTCTGCTTGAGATTGCAAGGCACAACTTGTGCACATTGGATTACCGGCTGTGAAATTTCGCCGTCGCAAGAGACGACGTCCACAGCCTGTTCCACGGAGTGGACGCAGCATCGCTGACTGGTGCATGAGTTAGTTTATAGTAAGCAGACTTGCATTGCGTTTGCCATACTCTCTTCCCTCAACTACTTTACTCCAGTGGCTAGACAATGGCCGGAGGTCGGCTCGAACGCGGTGGCCGATAAAGCTAAACAGCCCGTCTGCCCGTGCCAAATACGAACTGGTCCCCACAATATGCGGCTTGGATCTAACTTGCTCTCGAGGGCCACAAAGGTCACATTGAGAGGAAACAATTTCAGTCTGGTTCTCAGTCCTCCAATCACCCCAAAATACTCCCATGAGGATTAAGTTAGCCTGTCAGTTGGCAGCCCTTCAAGTCCCGATCCTTAGCGCGGTGTGATAGAATAAAGGCACAGATTTGTTATAACCAAGGCTGCGCTGGCGTGCGTATGGATGAATTGCCCGTGTCGATCTCACTCTCTCTTCCCTCTTCCAGTCCGAGCCTGTTAGTCAGCTATATCAGTTCTGCACAACCATAATTTGGACACTTGGAGTTTTGCACTTCCTAGTAACTCGTATATCTTGTTAAGACAAGTTGATAAATCAGGGAGCTAAAGCGTTCATCAAATACTTGAGACGAACGAATTGAACCGCCACTCCTTGATTACACGCCGGGTGCTCTACTACAGTTGCAGGAGCCGCACTGTGGGAGTCGAAGATCAACGGAAATTAAAACTTTGAGCACTTATAGGCACCTCGGTCTGAGTAGCCTTGAAGTTTGAGTGTATAATGTAATCATCCAGGAGAAAGAGACTCGCGGCTGAAACACGAATCCTATTTGCCTGACATTGTAGATTCACACTTGAACCCAACATCCGGTAAGGGTGGTAATTGCCTATGGATTGCCGTATTTATAGAGTGCAGCTACTATTGCGCCGCATAATTATCAAAATAAGCGACTCCCGTACTCATCACGTACGGTTATACCCGCTGTCATGGCTGCTCGATTGCCGGCACCAGTCTCTGATTTTCGCAATCTCACCACCCCTGCTCGCTAGTGGTGCATTGATTGCTTGGCTATTTGACCCATCGATATTGTGTTTTCCGGCGCGCTTTCCGCGCGTGGTTAATTACTCCGTGCTGACGAAGTATTAGGACCGAATTTCGAGGAGGGAGGTAACTGCGCTCGTTGAGGGGCTGTGGGCCATAGAACCATGACTGAGACAGCCCGCGGATCATGTGATTGTCAGCTCTCACGAGAATGTCCACCTCGTCGAACTTAAAGGTGCGGCCGGGTCCTGCCGAATGAGTCGCGACTTAAATGATGACGCCATTTATCTTCGCTGCTGCTGTAGGATCGGCCGATCTGTATTCAGTGTAATCTCTCAGTTTCTTCAGCATAATAACTTTGTCCACAACTGCACCAAATCCGATGAAAGACTCCAGATGTTTCCTGTCTTCTCGGGGTATCCTCAGGCCTCAGCACTTGACGATTGCAGTTGATGTCCACTCACTGTGCAACCCAGTACATGCGTCCTACTTGTCGCCTTCATGAACACTTCCGTTCTAAGGCTGTCGTGATCATCGTCGCAGACGAGGACATTACGGAAGTCCAGCTAGTCGTTTTCTTCTCGATGACAACGAAAGTGTCGTCTACGTACCGAGTCCAGAGCTTCGTCCTATGGCGTTGGAAGACTAGCGGCTCCAACCGTTGTAGGACTGAATCGGGTATGATTTTCGAAATCGGTGAATCCATTAGTTTGCCTTTCACCATCCAGGATGCCAAAGTGGGACCGTTATTTTTGCTATTCCAGGGCGCAAATGATTATTGTTTTAGAGATCTGATTTTACGTAAAAATACTGTTCACTCTCGACAGGTTGTGCCTAAACACGTTGTCCCCTGTTCGTTTGACAATCTCTGAAAAACCTATGAAGCACCATTTGCTACACGAAGTTATACCA